GAAACACTGTTTAATTGACTAATGTATTCCCATGAACAGAGAGTACCTTTGTTTTCTCACTATTGGTTATTGGTGGGAAGGAAATCACAGCGCCCTCAGCATCCACCAGGCACGGGTAGTTGTCTTTGCCATCCAGCAACTGCAGGTACCTGCCAAAAGAAACAGTGCAGCAAAAAGTGAGTGACAGAGAGCAGCTGGACACAATGGCAGAAAACAGTGACAAAAAGGAATTAGTGTGTGACCTCTGCACGAGCAGTGAACAGCACAGGGCAGAGCCACATGCTCATCTGCTCCTACCTGCAGATTTACCCCATCTCTGATTCACTTACTTTGCTGAATGTGCACCACATACACTTCGTTATTCTTTGCTTCCCTTCTATTTGCTGTTCTAAATAGATCTGTCACCTCTTGAATAACTCACATGACAATAATTTACTCTGGATGCAGACAGAAACACTGGAAGGGCACTGAGCATCCTCCCTTCCTTCCGGGTTACTCTTCATGCAAAAATTCACTTCAGTGCTTTTCACCTCAACTCCCAAGAGCTCGTGCTGGGTTTGTGAGCCCCATCCCCAGTGCAGTCACCTAAATGTGTGTGAAGAAAACCACAAATGACCAGGGTACTGACTTGTGCAGCCCAGAGACATTCTGACGCTTCTTCTGCTTCCGCTGCTCCTCAGCCTCCAAATGCAGCTGCCGGAGAAGGTCCTTTGCCTTGATCTCCTTCCGACCCAGGGGCACTATCTGCACCACACAAGAAAACAAACATTTGAATTCAAAACTCCTCTGAGCAAGTCAATAATTAAAACCATACTCCTGCATGTTGTCATTCCCCATGCCTTTTTCAGCCTGGAAATATACCTTCCACTTCTCAGAGTGCTGTGAGTTCAAAGCTTTGTGTAAGCCACAACACCCACTTGAAATACAGGCTCAGTCACTGGTACTAAACCTGGTACAGCAGGATAGCAAGAAAATCAGTAGAGCTTCTAGAGTGAAGTTTCAGGAATTAGTTTTCTAGGATTTGCAGAGTAAGAAACTACTGCCAAGCCCTACCTTCAGCTCGTCAGGAGGTTGAATGTCGTAAGTCAGAGGAGCTTTGACCAGCTGCAAGTCGTGGGTGGCAATGGTGGCCACTGTGCGCCTCTCACAGATGTCCTCGTGCAGCTTAGTCTAAACCAAAGAAAATCAAAAAGTGATTTATCCCTTCTGGGGTGCAGATTCTTCTATACTTAATGTCTGCAACACTACCAGCCAGGTGAGTATGAAACAGAGCCCTTCCCTTCCCCTGCGAGGTGCCTGTATCTGCACTGCAGCCCAAGCACAAAGGCAGAGAAGCCCAGCAGCACATGAGACGTTTCACAACTGGGAAATCGAGTTTTAAGTCAGAAATCACAAATACTCTGTAACTCGAGGGCAGCTCCCACCTGCCACCTAAGGGACAGGTCTGTGGGTAGGACGCCTCAGTCAGAAGGCTGGGTGTGCAACATGGTTTTAGCACAGATCAGGGAACCTGGAGCCAATCCAGGATACGTCTAACGTGGACACAGGTTTATTTTTAGCTCTCAACAGGTTCCACAGCACCGACAAGCTGCTGTTACAGACACAACACAAACGTGAGTGCATCCACTGCCCTCATGGCAACACCTGAGCTCTAACAGGTCCTTCCCAAAAACCAGTTCTGCTGATTCTGGACTCACGGGGCACATGCTGCTGGCATAGGCCACTCTGCACGGCCACCCCTGGACCCTCCCACCCTACAGTTCACAAACTCATCTGCTGGAAGGAGCCCAGAACAGTCTATTTCCAACTCTTGACAGCAACATTCCTGCTGCAAACAAGTACCACGATACAGCAGCAGATACCTGCATTGACAGGAACCTCTTGAGAGCATTTCCCGGCTTTAGGTTCACTCCCTTCAGCACACAGCACACGATGAAGGGCCGAACATCTTTGACGCCTGGGCTCACTTTGACCACCAAGGGCGCCGGGTTCTCGGAGACGTGCAGAACCTTCACCAGCAGCCTGCTCGCCTCCTCCACCTCGTCCTGCTCCCCATCCCCACCGTCCTTCTTTTGCTGCTTCTCCCTCTTCTTCTTCCTGACCTCCTCCCTGGCACTCTCGGCCTTCCCCTTCCCGCGGCCCCCGGCCCGCAGGTACTCCAGGATGGCCTTTGTCTGGCACCCGTTGACCATCTTCTCCAGCCGCTTGTCCCTCAGCGGGTTGCCCCTGAAGTTGGCCTCCTTCAGCCGGGGGCAGTCGGCCAGCGCCGAGGGCAGCTCCCGCAGCTGGTTGTTGGCCACGTCCAGGCTCTGGAGGAGACAGAGAGGGACGGTCAGGGCTGGGTGATGGAGACCCGGGAGCGCGGAGGGAGCCCGGGGCCCGCTCCCACC